TCTCCCCGCGGCCCCCAAAAAGCCGCGCACACGAGGTGAGCGGCGACGGCGACGGCGACGACGACGACGAGTCAAACCAAGCAGCCTCTCGCGCACACGCGGGCAGGGTTTGCGGATTTTTATTTGCCCCCAGGAGAATTCCTGCAATGGGCCATCTTGAGGCTGGCGGAAATGCGCGAAGCCCCTCTTAGCATGTCTTACGCATGCCGATCTCATCACCCTGCATGCCAGCACCACCTCATCATCTACCCTCGACGCCTGCAAAACATGGCCAGGGCCCGCAGGGGGCCCGCCGAATGAATCGCTTCGCTCCTTCCGCCGGCCCATGGTCTCTCACCGCTGTCGCTTGGCCGAGTGTGCGTTGTCACCGCGGAGCTTGTGCGGAGGCGTTGCGTTCGGCATGTTGGTGGAGGAGCAATTCCTGAGAAACTGCTGTGTGGCGGTTCGTCGGCATTAGCTGGGGGGTTGTCGTGGGAGGTGTGGGCATTGATGGGGTTTGTAGGTCCTTTGCCGTTTGCTTCGTGGGGTTTTGTCGCTCATGGATGCTCGCTGTGGGGCCATGCGACGCCGACGGCGACTGCGACGGCGACGATCGGCCTGCGACTCCGATGGCGACGATCGGAGTGGGAAAAGGGTGTAAGAATATACGTTCGGAGGCCCGCGCGGATTTCTGGGATCGGCGCTGGGCCCTCCTCCCTGGCGCGCGGAACACGCCAGGGGCGTCGGATGCGCCGCCCGGGGTACCCAGCGCGGATCCAAGGAAATCTTCGCGGAGCTCTGATGTTGCATGTTTTTGGTGCTGCCTCTCTACTTCCAGACGGCGGCGGCGGAGGAGAGATCCGTGCAGGCGCATGTCGGGCGAGGCCGCAGCTGCCTTCCCTCAAGTTCGGTGGCAAATCGTGGGAGCCTGGTGTGCCTTCTTAATTCCGTATGTAGCGTCGATTCGCGTCGAATAGCGTTTGGAGTCGATGAGATAGCGCCGATTTAGCGTCGGCTAGCGTCGATTAGCGTCGATCTAACGTCGGTTCGCGTCGATTTAGCGTCGATTAGCGTGGATTCGCAAGAGCCGACAAGACGGTATGGGAGGCGCCCACGAGTTGCCACCGAACCCAAATGCGCTGCGTCCGTGGAGAGCCGAGGAGAGCGTGGGTCGAGAGGCGGGCCTCCAGGCGCCACCAGACTGCTCGATGCGGAGCTCCCCGCGTGTGCGCATCAGCTCTTGGCGCTTCCGTCCTGTTGGTGATCCGTGCGGGTCGCCGACGTGGTGAAGCAGGCACAGTACTTCGGCACACCAAGGGGGCAAGCCACTTGACTCCGAGACCTGGGAGGTGTCACTCTCGCGAGTCCTCGCCGCCGCTGCCGCCTTCATGCGGCAAGGCGAGCGAGGCAAGCCACCTGCTCAAAGGCCCTTCGGCCCCGAGCACGTGGCTCGCTGGCCGTGCCTGCAGCTCTGGCGGAGGAACGGGCAGAACAGTGAGTGTCTGAGCGGGAGGATCCGAGCCTGTGGCGACAGCGATCCCGGTCGGCTCTCTCGTGGAGTGCCCAAGTGCCATGCTTGTGACGTCGGGATGCTTTGGCACGCATTTTTGTTGGGCCTCCCAGGGGGCCCTCCTGAGGGAGCCTCTTGGGGCGTCTTCGGGGAGTCTGGGGGGCCTCTGAGGGCCCCTCGGGGGCCTCTAGGAGGTCTCTTGGGGCCCCTCCCTCTCTTGGGTGTTTTCTGGCAGTGTGGGGGGCCGTTTGTCGGGAAAGAGTTTGAATTTCAGGTCGGGTTCCTCCTCTTCGGACCCTCGTTGGTGGTTTGGAGGCTTATTGGGAGGCCTCTTGGGCCGTCGTCGGGCCCTCTTGGGTCGTCTCGTTGCTGTCCTGAGGGCGTCTTGGTTTAAATTGTGGCAGTGTTGGAGGCTGAATGGGCCGTCTTGGGCGGTCGGAGGACGGACGAGCGGTTACGCGAAGATCTGTCAACGACCGAAATAAAATGCGCGAATTCTGTCCTCTAGGAGGCCCCTTGGAGCTGTAGTGGACCATTTGGAGGCTATCTTGAAACCTTTTGGGGGTGGATAGAGGTTATTATCGTGCAATCTGCCACCCATGAATCCCGGCTCGAAGGACCTCTTCGGGCTCCCTTGGGGTCCCTCGGAGCGCTTCTTCCTAGGGTGCTTGTTGTGAGGGCCCTGGAGACCGCCCCCGGGATTCCGGCGTCCGTGAGGGTCATCGCCCAGGGGCCGCCCGCGGTATTCTTCCGACCTGGGGCCCCTTAGGGTTAAGTCGGGCACGTTCCTCTGCAGGAGGAATATTCCCAAATAGTAAGACATAATATGGGGGCGTTTTTTTCAGACTATTTTTGGTTATTTTTTTAAAGCATGTTTTGACTATCTTTATTTTTCCTCCAAAATCCGCCTGTCCGACCTAACCCTAGGGGCCGCCACTCGCGCGCGAACTTTAACAATCAAATCATGCTACGCCTGTGGCCGGCTGGGCCTGCGAATTGCGGGTGCGCGGGCCCTGCGCCTTGCTGACGACCCCGCTGTTCTTTTCTATATTGGCCTTTGACTGGTGGTGGGGATCGACATAACTGCTTGATGTATGCTGCCACGCGCATTGGCTCGCCTGGCGCAGTCTGCGCGTGTTGCGCGCCCAGCGCGCCGAGCGTACACGTGGCACACCAGGTGCACGTGCCGCAATTGGCTTGCGTGGTGCAGTTGACGTCTGAATCGGTTTCCAACGATTGTCCCTCGGACGGCGACCGCTGGCTGTGTCCAGTTTCGAGTGTGTACAGGCGGACGGGCGTGAGCGAGGCATCAGCTTGTGGCGCTCGTGCGTAGAGGCTGACTCACACACCCATCTCCACCTCCATTTTCATCTCCATCGCCGCCACCGCCGTCGTTTCCGTCGTCGCAACTGCACCTCAAGCTCCACCTCCGCCTCCACTTTCGCGCCCCCACTTCGGGCTCCACCTCCGCCTCCACCACCACCTCCAGCGCCACACCCACGTCCACCTCCACTTCTGCCTTCACATCCGCCGCCCACCTCCATACCCTCCACCGCCTCCGCCGCGATTCACGCTTCCACATCCACCATCACCTCAGTTTTCATGTCCACCTGTACTTGCGCCAGCGCCTGCACCTGCACACCTGGCCCCTTCCGTCCTCCTGCCCCCCCTCCTCGCCACCCGGCCACCTCCTGCAGCCGTGATGGCTTGAGCGCTCGGTTTCGAGTGGCCGTCACGCGCAGCCGCCCGCAACCGCCTCCGCCCGGACCTCGGCGCCCCGCCGACCTCAGTGTCCGCAAGATCCCGTGGCGCCATGCTCCGTGTGCCGCAGCTGGCTCGCAGACTTCAGGCCGCCGCGGCCAGCTCTGCGCGGTCCCAGGCCACAGCTGCAGCCGCTGCGCCGACCGCCGCTGCAGGTGCGGCCCTGGTGCCGGCGACGAAGTTCAACGAGGTCAAGTTCCACAAGGAGGATGTGGAGAAGGTGATGACCGAGCTGCCCGCCTTCAGCTTCTACGAGATGTCGGAGGACAACGAGCCGAACCCTTACACGATGAGCACCATGGACCATAGCATCCTCCTCGACCCTCAAGAGCCTGCGCTCGTGGCGCCGAAGATGGAGTTCTCCAAGCTAGAGAACGGCCTGAAGATCGCCTCTGTCGACAAGCAGGGCATGAAGGCGACTCTGGGGCTTTACGTGAACGCGGGGAGCCGCTTCGAGACGTCGGCTAATTTCGGCGTGTCGCACATGGTGTCGCTCATGGGCTACACCTCCACCGCTCATCTGAGTCACTTGCGCACCGTGAAGACCCTCGAGCAACTGGGTGCGTCGGCCACATCCGAGTGCGTTGCGGGTCGCGAAGAGATCGTTTATAAAGTCGAGCTTATGCGCGAGTACATGCCATACGCCGTGCCGCTCATGATCGGGAACGTGCTGTTTCCGCGCCTGCTGCCTTGGGAGGTCAAGGCGGCCTCGAAGAAGGTGAAGGAGGCCCGAGCCGCCGTCGAGGGCGACGCGGACGCCATGGTCAACGAGCTGCTGCACAAGGCAGCTTACTGCAACAACACTCTCGGCTTCGCCCCGTCCTCCACTGAGAGGTGCATGCCGTACTTCACTCCAGAGACCATCCGCTCCTTCATGCTGGACCACTTCGCGCCGGAGCGCATGACCCTCGTGGGCGTGAACGTGGCACACTCCGAGCTGAGCAAGTGGGCCATGCGCTCCTTCGCGGACTACAACGCGATCCCGCTCAAGAAGCGAGAGGCGGCAAAGGCGATGTACACTGGGGGAGACCTGCGCATGGAGGGCTCGTCGCCTTACTGCCACCTGGCCATCGCCCTTGAGTCCGTGCCGTGGGGGCAACAGGAGCTTGCCCCCGTCACGCTCTTGCAGGCCCTGCTCGGCAGTGCAAGCGCCGTGACCGGCAACATCGGCTCTGGGCGCACCTCGCGGCTCGCCACGGAGATCGTGAAGCAGAGCCCCTACGTGGAGTCCTGCGCGGCGTTCAACACCTCCTACTCGGACAGCGGGCTGTTCGGGATCTATGGCGTGTGCCAGCCCGACAAGGCGGGCACCATGGCGTCCGCCATGCTGAAGTCGCTCACGGGCCTCACCTCCGTGTCCAAGGCGGAGCTCGACAAGGCGAAGGCCATGCTGAAGGGCAAGATCTACCGGCAGACTGACGACGGCAGCACCCTCACGCAGGATCTCGGGCAGCAGATCCTCCTCTCCGGCAGGTACGGGTCCCCCGCCGACTTCGCGGCGGCCATCGACGCCGTCTCCGAGGCCCAGGTTCGGCGGCGAGCAAGGGGCGGAAATGAGAAGGAGAAGGCCTTCTCAGAAGGCGAGGAACTTCTCAGAAGTCCTCGAGCCTTCCGAGAGTTTTTGTTTTGTGTCTTCGGGGAAGGCTTAGGAAACTTCTCAGAAGGCCGGTGGACTTCTGAGCCTTCTGGGAAGGCCCGCCCCTTCTCACTTCCCCCCCTTCGCTCGTCGCCGACAGGTGACCGCGGCCGCCAAGAAGCTCCTCTCCTCGAAGCCCACGGTGGCGGCGTTCGGCGACACGCACACGGTGCCTCACTACTCGGCCGTGGAGGCGGCGCTGAGGGCGTAGGCCGTGAGACCTCGGCGCCCCTCGCGGGAAGCTTTTTTTCGCGGCGGCGGCTCCTCCCAGCCAGGCGGCAAGAGAAGACAAGCGATGCCACCGCGCCTCCCTGGGCCTCCTCCCTGTTCCTGTCCGCCCGCCTCCCGTCTCCCTCCTCCCGCGTCCGCCCGCGAGGGAGCAGAATGTGGCTGGCAGGTGAGCGGGAGGTGCCAGGGGAGACGATGAGGATGAGGATGAGGATGAGGATGAGGATGAGGATGATGATGATGATGATGATGATGATGATGATGATGATGATGATGATGATGATGATGATGATGATGATGATGATGATGATGATGCTGATGATGATGATGATGATGATGATGATGAGGATGATGATGATGAGGAGGAGGATGAGGATGATGATGATGATGATGATGATGATGATGATGAGGAGGAGGAGGAGGAGGAGGAGGAGGAGATGGAGGAAGGCTGAGGAGGAGGATGAGGAGGAGGAGGAGGCGGCGGCGGCGGTGGCGGAAGAGGCGGAGAATGGGGATCGGGGGAAACGCGGACGAGGGGGAGAATGATGTGGCGGAGTGGCTTTGCGATAAGAGTGAGGTGGGAGTCTGTTTGCAACTGAGGAGGGGGGCTTCCTCCATGATTGTTTTTAATATAACTTCCAGGGTCCCGCAGCCCGAAACGCACGCGCCCCTGCAGGCCGAAATCCGGGAAACAACTTAGGGATTGAACAACAAGTGGCGTTGGAGGTCTGGGCCGTCGTCGTGGTCGTCGTCGTCGTCGTCGTCGTCGTCGTCGTCGTGGTCGTCGTCGTCGTCGTCGTCGTCGTCGTGGTCGTCGTCGTCGTGGTCGTCGTTGTCGTTGGCGGCGGCGGCGACGGGGTGGGGTGGGTGGTGATCGCTCGAATCCGCGAGAATTCATCAGAGGAGCAGAGGTCATGCTGTTACACTTTTCCAGAAGTCCATGATCTCCAAGACTTGCAATTTTTCCCCGTGGGTTGCAACAGCGAGGGCTGATAGATACTCTAATCCTGGGGCGTGGCCTGAACCAGTCTTACCACGATATGAGTGACGCAAGAACAAGCGGGTGTTCGTCAGCGCAGACAGTGGCTCACAAGCTGCCCGCGGAAGGTCGCGCGTAAGCGTCCTCGCTTCCAGTGCTGCGTGCCACGCTGGCTGCCCGCGTAAGCCGCCGCGTAAGGTCGCCATGCCATCTTGCGCAAGTCTTCGTTTTTTGTCGCCCACATGCATATTATCTTACCCATCGGTCGTTGAAAGAAGGTATTTTTTGGACTCCCCGAACCCAACCTGCTTCAAGCGCATTCCTACTTCATGAGTCGATCTGCTTTTGCTGCGTTTTGTTACTTGCTGGGCGGGTTCGAACCCAGTCTACTTCATCCGCCTTCCTGCTTCATGTTTCTACCTACTTCTTCCGACCGATAAGTCATGCTGTCGGAGTGGCTCTTGGGCCATGCCGCGGCCCACAGGGCCGATCGTGGCAGCGGCGCCGCCGTCTTGAGGCCCTTGTCGAGCTCTGGCCGCTGCATGGGGCCTCGACCCCCCATGGGAGGGGGGGGGGCACGACAACGACAGGGTGGCGAGGGAGGAGCCCTGCTTTCGAGGAGGCACGAACATTAAGGCGGGCATGCCCCTTTACAGGAGGAGTGTTCAAAAACAGTCAAACAATAGTCTGGGGACGAGTCTTCGACTATTTTGTTCAACTACTTTTCAATGTTCTTCCAAAATCCGCCTGTAGGAGGACATGCCCGACCTAACATAAATATGGATTAAGACGCGTGGATGCGCGACGGGTCCCGTTTCCGTGCGGAATCGGCGCGCCCCGCCGCCAAATTCGCGCGGCATTGGCGCCATATTTCGGGTGGCACTTTCCCAGGTCCGTGGGTCTGCCGCTCACGTGCCAGATCCACGGGTCCCTGATCCATGTCAGCTCGCGCCCGAGATGAGCCCTGCTTGCGGTAGAATCGCGTCGTGTCGACGTGGCGACGGCCCTGGCGCGGGCGTTCAAGGTCGAACGCCGCCAGTGGCCCGGCATTGGCCAGCGTGGAACGATTGGGCGATCAAAACGCCGCCGATCGTGGAAGGCTGAACGATCTCACGTGGCGTCAGACACCAGCACCGAAGTCGTCACGACGCGAACCTGCCGAGCGGGGGTGGCGGGGGGGCAGCAGGAGGAGGAGGAGGAGGAGGAGGAGGAGGAGGAGGAGGAGGAGGAGGAGGAGGAGGAGGAGGAGGCGGAGGCGGCGGCGGCGGCGGGAGGAGGAGGAGGAGGAGGAGGAGGAGGAGGAGGAGGAGGAGGAGGAGGAGGAGGATTGGGCCTGCGGGTGCGCCGAGGTCCCGCCGGCCCCGATGGCCCCCACGCTCCGCCTCCTGGGCGCAGCTGCCGCCGCGGCGGCGCTCGCGGCCGCCACGGGGCCCGCCACGCCGGGCCTCGTCGACGTCAGCGCCGGGGCCCGCGCCCTCGTCGTCGGAGCGCTCCTCAGGGGCAACGACAGGGGAGGATCGGCAAAGGGGGGGGATGCGTCGACCCCGAATCGCCCATAGATCGACGATAGGGGTCTGATAGCCCCAACCCGCCCAGGAAGGTGCGGATTCACTATCTGGGGCCTATCGCCGACCTATCGGCGATGTATCGCCGATTCTAGGTCGATGCATCCCCCCCCTATGCCAGTCCCCCCTTATCGTTGCCCCTCAGCTCCGCCGCAAGCGAGCTCTCGGCCACACGAGGGGCCCGCTGTAGGTCCACCCCGTCAGGCCCATCGTCCTCCCAGACTCGGCCTTCTCTCTCTCTCGTCTCGGCTGTACGTTTTCGACCGTTTTCATCGTTGCTTGGAGGGATTCCTGCCTCGGGAAGCGTTCTAGCAGCTGCGCCTCGTCGAGAGCGTTCCGGGGGTGCCCGAATCGTCCCGAACGGCCGCCGAAGGCCCGGGTCATGACCCGAAAGCCGAGTTGTCCTTCGCCGGAGTGACCTCTGGTGCGCGGCCTTTCGGGGGGCTGGGGCGGGGGCCGTCCCTGCAGCCTCGCGCAGGCCGCGTACCAGAGGCCCCTCTTTGCCCAGGGCCACTCCTGCGTGGCAGGGCTTCGGGTTGCGCGCAGACAGGCCCCCCCCCTCCCCGGGAGTCCCGGCTGGCCTCCACAGGTGCCCCCCGAGCAGTCCCGCCTGGCCTCAGCAGGCCCCCCGGAGCAGCCCGGGGTGGTCTCCACACCTCAGCCCCGCGGCGCGGAGTCCCCCAGGGGCGCCGCTGGAGGCGGCGCTGGGTGTCGAGACCGCCCCGGGCTGCTCGAGGGGCCTGTTGACCGCCGCCGCCGCCGCGCTCCGCCGCCGCCGGGCAGGACCGCCTTGGCGACTCGAGAGCATCGCGCTAGCGTTGCTCTGGGCGTTTTTGTGCTCGTGCCGCTTTTTGGGAGCGTTTTGTGGCAGGGTCGCTCCTGTGTGTGCTGTCAGCCCGCATGAGAAGGATGGGCAACCTTCCCAAGGGTACCCTCGCATCCTTGCCTCCTCGGTCCATCCTGATCCGCTCTCGTTGGCCGCGCCCCGCTCGAGAAGCTTCGAAATGGGCGCCCAAGGCCCTTGCATCCTTGTCGCGCATCCTTGCTATACGGGTTCACTGTAGCCGAGCGCTCCGCCGCCGCTGCGCTCTTCCGCGCTCTTCCGCGCTCTGCTGAGCTGCCGCGGCGCTCCGCCGCCGCCGTCGCGCTCGGCTGCGCCGCCGCCGCCGCCGCGCTTCGCCGCCGCCGCCGCCGGGCAGGTCCACCTTGGCGACTCGAGAGAATCTTCTTCGCCTGCTGATAGGGGGTTAGCCTTCAGCCGGGCATGTCCATCTACGGGAGGAATACCCAAACACAGTAAAACATACTCTGGGGACGATTTTTCTGGTATTTTTAGTTATTGGTGTTTTTTTGGGGTGGGGGGTGGGGGGAAGGGACAACTTTTCATTTTTCGTCCCAAACCTGCCTGTAGTAGGACATGCCCGACCTAAGACTCGAGAGAATCTCCTTCGCCTGCTGATGGGGGTTAGTTAGCCTTTCGGGGGAAGTGAAAGGTCAGCTCCATTCCTTGGGATTTTTTCTTTGCTCGGGGCGGTCTTGTTTCAGAAAATAACTATCCTGGGGCTTTTCCATCGTAATGCCTTTGGGACTTTTTCGCCTGGGGCATTTGTTTCTCAGAACCTTTTTTCCTCAGTTGTCCTTCGCTGACTCTGACCCGCAGAAGTCGGACCTGAATTAGAAGGCGAATGGGAATCGTGCTCGCGTTGTTCTGGGTGTTTTTTTTCGGGGGGGGGGCTTCCTGCCGCCTATTGTGAACGGCTCAGGGCCGATTCTGGGCCCTGGGACCGTGAAGGGACGATCCAGGGTGAGGTCCAGGAGCCAGTGGTCAGAACAGATCGAGTCGCCGGGGGTCCAAGGAGCTGGAAGCGCCGACGTGGACGGCACATACAGCTGCGCCGAGTTCATCCTGCCGCTTCGCGCTGCGCCCTGACCTGGCCCACGGAGGCGTTATACTTTTTTCAGGATTCCCAGAGACTTCGAGTAGGGGATCGACTACAGAGTTGATTTAGGCCAGAATGTTTTTTTCGTTGGCTCAGCGAAAAATGCGTGCTTTTTTCGTTGACCTACGAGCATTATACGCATGTTTTGTAGATTCGGCGAGAAAATCAAGTTTGCGGTGCATCAATTTTGCAGTCGATCCCCCACTCGGAGATTTCAGGGCCCTGGGGTGTTTTCCATCCGCTGTGCCTCGTCGACAGCCTGGGGAGCCTGAGGGAGCGTCCCTTGGACGGCCGTCAGGGGGCTCCGAGCTGTGACCCAGCCAGAGGGACGAGGTTCCACGCACTTCTTGGCGCCGCGAGGCAAATTACGATACAGTCGGACCGAGACATCAGATCGAGGTCGGTTCGGGGAGGGTACCCTCGTGTTCTTCGCGTTTCTTGGATGTTCTTGTGCATCCCGGGGCGGGTACCCTTGGATGTTCTGTGTGTTTTGGCCGATGGAGGGTCTCATGTTCCCGAGGGGTGTTTTTCCTGGCCTGGGTCCGACTGTATGCTCTTGTCACCCCCCGCAGGAACTGGGGGCCCTCGCTGGTCGGTCTGGCTCCAAGAGTGGGGAAGTGGAGCGTTCTGGTCGTCGGAGGACCCCCCCGAGAGGCGAACACCGCCAAACTCGTGCGTGTGTCCGTCTTTGGCGCTCTCCGCTGTTCCGTTCAATACCGCTCCAAGAGTGGCCCCAGGGGCTTCCAAGTGGGTCCAAGAGGCCCACAAGCGCCCCCTGAACGGGCCCGACATTGCCTCCCAGACCGCCCCGAGGCAGCTCTTAAGCCAGTCCCCAGACGTCCCCCGAGACTCCCACAGACTACTGCACGCGGCTACACACTGCCCCCACGTTGCGCCAAGTTGCCCCGAGAAGGCCCCAAGATCTCGAGAGGGCCCCTAAGAGGGCTCCGAGCCAGGACGAGCCATCGATCTCTCGCGCCCCCTCGAGGGGCGGGGCGCTCTCTGTTGCCATGCTGGCTGGGTGACGGACGCCACGTCAGCGTGCGCGACCCGTCAGTGGATGGAAGCTCCCAATTCGCGGAAGTGTGAGAGGGACCGCTAGCAGCGCCTTAGGAGTGGAACCTGCCTTGATTCGTTTGCCGCCAAGTCGGCATCTTCGGGCCTGAGAGAACTCCAGAGGCATTCATTTTAGCCCTCGAAGGCGCCACCAGACCATCGAGGTGGTCTCGGAGGGCTCCGGGGGACGCCCAGGGCGGCCGAACAGATCTTAAACACGCCCTTAAGATGGTGCCAAGGACCCGAAGAGGCTCTCATATGGCTCTGCGCATAGCCCCTCAAACTCATGCGGGTGTTCGTGTTTGGCGCTCTCAATTTTTCAAGTCACGATGAGTCCAATAGGGACCCCAGAGGCTTCCAATAGGGTCCGAGAGGCCCAGAAGGGCCCCCAGCGGGCCCAATCTGCCTCCAACATGGATCGAGGCTGCTTCCAAGACGACCGCATAGCTGTTCCAAGACAGCCCCAAGACGCCCCTCCCCCTCAGGAATCGCTTGAAACGGCGCCCAGCTCCCAGAAGGGCCCCACGAGGCCGCATGGGACCCCACGGTGGCCCCGAGAGGCCCCAGGAGGTCCCCGAGGGGATTCCGACTCATTTCGTCATAATTTCATTTCGCCCGCTTCATTTCGTCTGCTCCGATGCGTCCGCTTCGATTCGCCCTCTCCGTTTCCTCTGGTTTCGAATCGTCCGGGGTTCGAATCGGGGACAGAACGAAAGAGGACGAAACGAGAGAGAACGAAAGCCCCCCCTCGAAAGTAGAGCGCACGAGCCGAAAGTCCCCCCTCCCGACGGAGGGGCCCAGGAGCGCCCCACAGGCGTGCCCCAGGCGGGCCCCCAGAAGGGCACCAGGACGGGACGCGCGAGCGACCGCGTGGTTCTTCTGAGATCCGACCTAGCCAAACAAATGATCGTAACAAATCACGCCCAGAGCCTTTTCGCTTAATAAAATCGAACACATCGTACAACAAAGAAGCGCAGTAAACACTTGCAGCAGCGTAAAGCAAAACAGCTGTCGTTTTTCGAGCCGGATCGATCTGTGTAGGCCCCGGGGGCCGAAAAAACTCGAGGACACGCCCAGCTCGAAAAAAGTGAGTCGCCAGGATCTCTCAGCGGCACCGTGACGGGTACTCATTGACGAGTACTTTGTGCAAAGTTGCAGACAGTTACCACTCTCGGGCCTCTGTATGGCATTGCAGCGTTGCCCACATCGGGGAGGGTTGGGCTCGCTGGGTCACCGACCAGAGTGCCCGTCAGTGGAGTCCCCGTCAGAGGGGCGAGGAGGAGGAGGAGGAGGAGGAGGAGGAGGAGGAGGAGGAGGAGGAGGAGGAGGAGGAGGAGGAGGAGGGGAGGAGGAGGAGGAGGAGGAGGAGGAGGAGGAGGGGCGAGGAGGAGGAGGAGGAGGAGGAGGAGGAGGAGGAGGAGGAGGAGGAGGAGGACGTCAAAAGGGGCGCGGGATTTTGGGGTCTTCAGCGTCGAGGCCCTCTCGTCTCCGCCCCTCGCCCGGGCAAGGCGGATCTGCCTCCAGGAGGGCCCGCGGGGCCGCGGGGCCCACGAGATCCGGTGGTACTACGAGGCCTCGGCCGCGGCCGCGGCGAGCCGCGCCCCCGAGGCCGAGCCGCTGTGGCCCTCGGGCTGGTACCTGGAGCGGGGGGAGGACCGGGCGGGCATCTACTAGCCAGCCCGCGCTGCCGCGCGATGCCGCCACCGCTCGAAAAATAATACGAACAATAGTAGTAATCAGAATACTCATGCTAGTAGTAACAACAGTAGGATAAATGATAATACTGAGACTAGTAGCAAGAGGAGGAATAATATTCGGAAGATACGAATCCGAAAAATAATAATAACAATAATCATAATCATAATACTAAGAAGAAGCGCCACAATCATAAGCTTTCGGGGCGCTCCGCGCGGACTTCTTGGATCCGCGCTGGGCTGCGCTCCGCGCGCCAGGCCGGGGGTCCAGCGCAGATCCAAGAAATCCGCGATGAGCGCCACACGTTTCTGTTCATGTCGTTTCTTATTTTTCTCACCGCGCTCGGGCGGGCCGCGGGAGGTGGGAGGGCCTTGCCGACTGCTCGTAAGGGTGACCCTCCGCCGTAGTAACCTCTGGTGCGGGCCCAGTGGGGTCTCCCGGCCGCTGAACGCGAAGCGGTAGCAGCGGCTTGCGTGCATTGGTGTGGCCCCCCCCCTCCCCCGCGGTTCCCCCTTTGGCCGCGCACTGGAGGGCACTCTTGCCCAGGGCCACTCTTGCGTGTGTTCGAGGGTGGTGGGAGGGCCTTGCGGGGCCTGGGGATGGGGATGGGGATGGGGAGTTGTTGGGGTGATGGTCAAGGGACGTGGTTGGGGCGGATCGTCGAGGGGGGTAGTCGAGAGGGGTGGTCGGGGGGCCCGGCCCCCCCCCCCCCTCTGCAGGCTTGGTATCTGGGGCCACCTTCCGCCTCGAAGGTCAACGACGCAGGGACCTGGCCGCACAGGTGAGCGCATCTTGGGCTCGATGCGTCGAAGTGCCGTGAGTGTTGCTTCGCAGAAAAACGAAAAGGGCCCGACGCAAACCGACCGCTGCCAGCGCGGTGGCGGGCATGGACAGCGGCAACACCACGCACCTGCCCCTGGGAGCGTGGAGGGTGTGGTCTGGGGAGATGTCGGCGCCTGGCGCGGAGCCCCCGCCGGTGGTCACGCTCGTGGACTCGACGGCGTTCCAAGCGCAGGGAGGTGCCGCAACCGGCGCGGGAGAGCATTCTTTAGAAAGTAAGTCACGTAAGCTTCGCCCGTGTCGTATTGAATGCATATCGGCGAAGGGCGTCCAACAGCGCCCAAGAGCGCGCGTCGCGCCAAGTAACGCCGAATAGCGCCCAAATGGCGACCGATAGCGCCCAAATTGCGCCATGCGAGGGAGCTGCATTACGTCCGCCTCGCAGGCTATTGTGCGCTATTGGACGCGGCACTGGGTGCCATGAGGGCGACCAAACCCTTCCGTGAATTGCTTTCTAACATTCGGAGGCCCACAGGCTGGTACCATGAGGGGAACTTCGGCACCCAGAGTGATCTCGGTCACGCCCGCGGGGGAGCCCTTCTCCGTTTCCGGTGCCTGCGAGATCTCGCCCCGCGTCCTGCGGGGCGATCTCTCCCCGTGTCTGTGCTTTTGTTAAGGGCTAAGTGTAGTTTGGCGCCAAGAGGCGTAGTCCTGGGAGGAGGAGGAGGAGGAGGAGGAGGAGGAGGAGGAGGAGGAGGAGGAGGAGGAGGAGGAGGAGGAGGAGGAGGAGGACAGGAGGAGGAGGAGGAGGAGGAGGAGGATGACCAGCAGGACCCTGAGATCCTGGTGTCGCCATCGTTTGGCACATGAACTCAGACTTCGGGCGTCTGCGGACGCTCCGAGTTTCTGCCCTCCCGACCACTACCAGTACCGGCGGCCTCTTCCACGAGGGAAGGTGAAAGGTGGCCCCCGAGCATCGGTGATGGTGGTGTGGTGATCCTCATTCCTTTCAAGTGGCCTGAACGTTCCCGCCGTCTCCATCATCGATGGTCGACCCCCATGGTGAAGGCGGCCCCCGATGCTGGTGCTGATGCCACTTTCTGGGCCTCCGGGAGCACGCGACGAACCGACGCTTTTTCTCCCCAGTCGTCCTGAGCTCGGCGGTTTTTTCTTTTGTCACGCTCGTCTGCCTCACGATGCTCATGAGGAGGCAGAGCCCGCACTTCTCCAGAAGGGAGGTCGGCCACCTCATCCAGGACGACGCCAAAGAGTACGACGAGACCGAGCCAGAGTGAGCCATCACTCGAGGAGGAAACCATTGCATAAACATAACCTTTCGGAGCTCCGCGCGGATTTCTTGGATCGGCGCTGGGCCCCCCTTGTCGGCGCCTCCAGCGCCGTCCCTGGCACGCTCCTCCGCACTCCAGTGGCGGGCAGGGTCCAGCGTCGATCCAAGAAATACGCGCGGACCTCCGAACGTTTATGGCTATGCCTGTTTTACTTCCTCAAGGGATCGAGCCATAATGACCGAATCGCGCGAGAGTTTCTGCGACATGGCTGTAGCTGCCTGCAGGTCGCACCGACACTTCAATTTTCAGAACTCGGGGGAGGTCAGGTGTGCACCGCGAAGCCTCCTCAGAGGCCCAGCGGAAGCCTGTGTTTGAGTGGTGTCGTCTCTTCAGGTCGGGCCGAGGGTCTTCAGATCTATGACACAGGGGCGCGGAATAGACCTGTGGAGGCTGGATCGGTGGTGGATACCTTCCCAGACCCCCTCGCGTCGTGAAACAAATCATGGCCAGAAGTGTGTTTCGTTATGGTCTGCTTCTGGGGACCCTCGCCTGGCTTCGGGACCGTCAGGCAACAGCTCGGGATGGAGCGCCGGTCCCCGGAAAGGGGTCCAGACCTGTCTAGGGTTCCATGCCATAGAACACGACGTCGGGGGTCTGGGTCCCTACTCCTCACGAAATTGCCAGACGCGCGCGCCGTCTTTCTGTATCGCTTCCGCGCCGCGCGGCCTTGTACAATGCCTGGGTCCAAGTATCTTGCTTGGGTTGTCGTCTGTAGGGTAGGCGGGCCTGTGGAAGGTCTGGAATAAGGGCCCCTCCTTTTCCCCCTCCTCCCCCATCCCTCCTCTCTCCTCTCTCCTCCTCCTCCTCCTCCTCCTCCTCCTCCTCCTCCTCCTCCTCCCTGCCCATCCCTCTTCCCAATTCAAATGTTAGCAAGAGTGGGCCGAACGCAGTGTCTTTCTAATTGTACATGTTGTGCGCTCTATGCGGAGCAGTTAATTTCTGTTCGCAGTGAGTTGTCCACTCCACTGCTCGCGCAAACATCCCACCCACCCACCCGCAACTTGGTTTGCAAAATCTCTTAAGACCGTGACGGTGGGTACCACATGGCACTTAGCAATAACAGCGACGCCGACGACGACAGCGACAACGACGACGACAACGTCGCCGACAACGACTACGACGACACCGACGACGTCTCCAACGACTTCGACGACGACAACGACGACGACGACGACACCGACGACGACGATGACGCCGACACCGACGCCGACGACGACGACGACGACGACGACGACAACGACGACGACGATGACGACGCCGACGACGACGACGACAACGACGACGACGATGACGACGCCGACGACGACGATAACGACGACACCGACGACGACGACGTCGACGACGCCGACGACGACGACGACGACGACGGCGGCGACGACGACGGCGGCGACGACGACGTGCAAACATCGCACCCTCCCACCCGCAACTTGGTCGCAAGACCTCTTAAGACAAGACCGTGACGGTGGGTACCACGTGGCACTTGGCCACGACACCGACGCCGACGACGACAGCGACAACGACGACGACAACGTCGCCGACAACGACTACGACGACACCGACGACGTCTCCAACGACTTCGACGACGACGACGACGACACGACGACGACGACGACACCGACGACGACGACGACACCGACGCCGACGACGACGACGACGACAACGACGACGACGATGACGACGCCGACGACGACGATAAACGACGACACCGACGACGACGACGTCGACGACGCCGACGACGACGACGACGACGACGGCGACGCGACGACGACGACGCCGACGTCGACGACGACGAAGACGACAACGACGCCGACGACGACGACGACGACGAAGACGACGACGACGTCGCCAACGAAGGCAACGAGGAAGGAGGGAGGACGACGACGGCGACAACGACGACAACGACGAGGGAGGAGGGAGGACGGCGACGGCGCGAACAACGAAGAAAGAGGAAGGAGGGCGACGCCGACGACGGCAACGACGAGGGAGGAGGGAAGACGACGACGACGACAAAGTGCTATGTTAGAAAACAACAAATGTCACCGCATAGTGTTTTTTTACAAGGGAACCTCAGGAGGGGGGAACCCGGCCTGGCTCGGATGGTATGCTTCCACATTTAGGATGGGCGAGTGTGCAGAATATATATATATATATATATATATATATATATATATCTACACATATATATATATATATATATATATATAAATTTATAGTATCCCAAGGGGGAACCGATAAGTCCGAGGGGGGGGGTAGAGTCTATTCTTCTTTTAGAAAGGCGAATTTATGCGGTGCAACTAATCTTTGACCGTCTTGAAGCTGTCCTCTCCACTGCTCGTGCAAACATCCCACCCTCCCACCCGCAACTTGGTCGCTCGCAAGACCTCTTAAGACAAGACCGTGACGGTGGGTACCACGTGGCACTTGGCCACGACACCGACGCCGACGACGACAGCGACAACGACGACGACAACGTCGCCGACAACGACTACGACGACACCGACGACGTCTCCAACGACTTCGACGACGACAACGACGACGACGACGACACCGACGACGACGATGACGCCGACACCGACGCCGACGACGACGACGACGACAACGACGACGACGATGACGACGCCGACGACGACGATAACGACGACACCGACGACGACGACGTCGACGACGCCGACGACGACGACGACGACGACGACGACGACGACGACGACGGCGGCGACGACGACGACGCCGACGCCGACGACGACGACGACAACGACGCCGACGCCGACGACGACGACGAAGACGACGACGACGTCGCCAACGAAGACAACGAGGAAGGAGGGAGGACGACGACGGCGACAACGACGACAACGACGAGGGAGGAGGGAGGACGGCGACGGCGCGAACAACGAAGAAAGAGGAAGGAGGGCGACGCCGACGACGGCAACGACGAGGGAGGAGGGAAGACGACGACGACGAGACGACGGCGATGAAATAGGAGGGACGACGACGAGACGCCGACGACGGACGACGACGACGACGAGGGAGGAGGAGGAAAGACCACCACGGCGACAACGACGACGGAGACGACCACGACGCCAAAGAGGAAGATGACGACGAACACGAGGAAAGACAGAGGACGACGTAGGCGACGACGACGATGACAATGACGCGGGAGGAGGGAGGACGGCGACGACGACGACGACGACGACGCAACAGCGCGCGCGCACGCTTTTGTTGAAAATCCGTGTTGCGAAACCTTGGGTTTTTGTATGTTTTTTGGACGCACGATTTTGAAATCCTTCCGAAACCGATGGGTTTTGAAGGTTTTCGGCATACGCGCGCGACGACGCGCGCGTCTGCACTTCGTCCCATTTGTTGCAGGGGATTCCCGCGACGGCACACGCGCAAGGGCGTTCGACAGATTTCGACATGAGCGCGCGAAGCCCGTCTCGTAGCATTTTCTGGAAATCTTGAAGAACCATGGTTCTCTCAAGATTTCGCAAGAGCTTTCGCGGAAGCTTTTTTAGCAACTCTGTGTTGCGACCCCCCCTGTGTTTTTGTATTTTTTTGTAAACTCGATTGCGACATCCTTCCCGCACCGACGGTTTTTGAAGGATTTCGGCATGCGCGCGCGACGACGCGCGCGTGTGCACTTCGTTTTTTGCAAGGGATTCGCGAACAAAGTGCTATGTTAGAACAACACATGTCACCGCATAGTGTTTTTTACAAGGGAACCTCAGGAGGGGGGAACCCGGCCTGGCTGGGATTGTATGCTTCCACATTTAGGATGGGCGAGTGTGCAGAATCTATATATATATATATATGTATATTTATATGAATTTATAGTATCCCAAGGGGGAACCGATAAGTCCGGGGGGGGTAGAGTCTATTCTTCTTTTAGAAAGGAGAGTTTATGCGGTGCAATTAATTTTTGACCGTCTTGAAGCTGTCCTCTCCACTGCTCGTGCAAACATCCCACCCTCCCACCCGCAACTTGGTCGCAAGACCTCTTAAGACAAGACCGTGACGGTGGGTACCACGTGGCACTTGGCCACGACACCGACGCCGACGACGACAGCGACAACGACGACGACGGCACCGCCGACACCGACTACGACGACACCGACGACGTCTCCAACGACTTCGACGACGGCAACGACGACGACGACACCGACGACGACGACGACGCCGACGACGACGATGACGACGACGAGGGAGGAGGGGAGGACGACGACGGCGACAACGACGACAACGACGACAACGACGAGGGAGGAGGGAGGACGGCGACGACGCGAACGACGAAGAAGGAGGAAGGACGGCGACGCCGACGACGACAACGACGAGGGAGGAGGGAAGACGACGACAACGACGACGACAACGACGGCGACGAAATAGGAGGGACGACGACGAGACGCCGACGACGGACGACGACGACGACGACTAGGGAGGAGGAGGAAGGACGACCACGGCGACAACGACGACGGAAACGACCACGACGCCAAAGAGGACGACGACGACGAACACGAGGAACGACAGAGGACGAGGTAGGCGACGACGACGACGACGCGGGAGGAGGGAGGAGTCGCGAAAAAGTGTTATGTTAGAACAAAATGTCACCGCATACTTTATATATATATAAAAACAAGGGAACTTCAGGGGGGGGATACGGGCCCCCCTGGGATAGCGTATATTCATATTTAGATTGGACATGTGGTCAGAATCGTATGTGATTCACATACCCGACAGGAAGGACGCCGGGGGGGGTAGATCCTATTCTGTTTTTAGACAGGGGAATATATTTGGTTCAATCTATTATGTGGTGCAGTCCGTGTGTTGTGCAATCTATGTTGTGCAACCTATGTAGTGCAATCTATGTGGTGCAGTCGATATGTGATGCAATCTGTGTGGTGCTACCTGTGCTCTGTAATCTATGTGTTGCAACCTATGTGGTGCAATCTATCGTCGGCAACCTTTCTTGTGCAACAATGACGGCGATTACGACACGACGACGACGAAGACGGCGACGACGACGACGTCGCCAACGAAGACGACGACGAGGGAGGAGGGAGGACGACGACGGCGACAACGACGACAACGACGAGGGAGGAGGGAGGACGGCGACGACGCGAACGACGAAGAAGGAGGGAGGACGGCGACGCCGACGACGACAACGACGAGGGAGGAGGGAAGACGACGACGACGAAGACGGCAACGAGGCAGGGACGACGACGCGACGCCGACGACGGACGACGACGTCGACGAGTGAGGAGGAAGGATCACCACGGCGACAACGACGACGGAAACGACGACGACGCCGAAGAGGACGACGACGACGACGACGAGGAAAGACAGATGACGACGACGGCGACGACGACGACGACGAGGGAGGAGGGAGGACGGCGATGACGACGACGACGCAAGAGCTCGCGCGCACGCTTTTGTTAAAAATCCGTGTTGCGAAACCGTTTGTTGTCGTAAGATTTTTGGACAGTCGATTTCGAACTATTTCCGAAACCAAAGGTTTGCGAAGGATTTCGGCATGCGCGCGCGACGACGCGCCCGCGTGGACTTTGTTTCATTTTTTTGCAGAGGGTTCTCGCGACGGCACGCGCGCAAGGGCGTTCGAAAGATTTCGACATGCGCGCGCGAAGCCCGTTTCGTAGTATTTTTTTTGGAAATCTTGAAGAATCATGGTTCTCTCAAGATTTCGCGAGAGCGCACGCGCAAGCTGTTTAAGACAATCAGTGTTGCGAAACCCTGGGTGTTTGTATTTTTTTTGAAGCTCGATTTTGAAGTCCCTCCGAAACCGAAGGTTTTTGAAGGATCTCGGCATGCGCGCGCGACGACCCTCGCGCTTTCTTTTTTAGCAATGGATTCTTGAACAATTTTGATTTTTGATAAACGAGTGTGCGCGCGTAGTTTTTTGCAAAGGATGGCGGGGGGGAGTCGATACCGGCCTGCCTGGGATAGTATCAGTTCGCAGGTCGGATGGACATCGGGCCAGAGTCCTATTTGTTTTGCATCGGTTCTCGGGGGATCTTTAACCCTGGGGCGGGGGGGGTGGTATGACCTATTCTTTGTTTAGAAAGGAGAATATATGCGGTGCAGTGCATGTGTTGCTCGTCGTCCTTGCTAGCAGCGAGCTGTCAACTCCACGTCTCGAGCGCTCATCTCACCCACCCACCAGCAGCTTGGTTTGCAAAACCCATCCAGTGGCGATTGCGATGATTGCCTGGCGCTGGCTTGCACGTCTTTGCGGCCGCGCTAGCGCTCGCAGGCTCGCGCGCAGAGCGGTCAGCTAGTTTGGCGCGACCGCCGCGGCCGCGGCGTCGCTGATCGATCGAGAATTCCCAGCGCGTTTCGCAGGCCGCGCTGGCGCGCGGACTCTTGAGTGCGAGTCCGTGATTCGGGCGGGCGCTGTATAATGGCGACGTCGACAACGGCCGACGCGATGATGATAGTAGCGGTGCTGGGGGCAATGATGACGATGGCGGCGGCAAGGCCAATGACGGCGCCGATGCTCATCACGCCGATGACGATGATGGTGCCCGCGTGTCCGTGATAAACGTTTTGGAAGGATCTTGACGTGCGCGCGCGCGGCCGACGGGCGCGAGAGGTCCGCAAGCTATTATTTGACAGGGGTCGCGCCCCCCCCCCCAGCCCAGCAAACGCGCAACGCGTTCGGATGACTTGGACATGCGCCCGCGAAAGGCCCTCTTTGGTCGCGTTCGAGTGCTCGTAAGAATTGGCAAGAATGCTTCGGCTTTTGTTTTTTTACTTGTTTTCTTTAGGGTCAAATTTGGTTCACTTTGTGTAGTTCTTCTGTGAGTAGTTATATATACATAGGCAGGTTTTATCCGTAGCCAGTTGGCTCAAGATGACGGGGGGTAGGTAGGCAGCAGCTCCAATCTATGGGGCTTCTGTTCGCAGTCCCTCCCGTCAATCAGAACAAGCTTTCTGACCTGACACTGCGCGCGCACATCTCCTCCATCTCTGTGGGCCCCTGCGCCGTGCTGCCAGCCCCTTTCAAGCTGGGTCCGAGATGCCTCTATCGCCCGATGATCCGCCGGCCCCTGGCGCTGCTGCTCCTGCTGGTGGGGATTTCCTCTCTGTCTGTCTCTCTCTCTCTCTGTCTCTCTCTCTCTCTCTGTCTCT